CTGAGAAGAAAAAGAAAGATTAAGCTGTAATTTACACATCGGTCTTCAGGGTAATTTATCCCTCAAAATGTAGAATTTATTTATAATTTATGGCACACCCACTTCCATAGAAGGATTTGAGACAGCAAAATTTGGAGTAAGGATCCAAGAATATTATATCTGGGGTTAGTAGATTCAAGTTCTGAAAGTAATTTAGTGAAAAGTAAAAATAAATAACCTTGTTAAAGACTGTCCCCCTCAAATGTTTAAAAAATAAAGAAAACTGTTCTCTTAGCATTTTTTTTTAAAACATCACTATTCTATATTACTTTCTAAATGAAACAAAGTCTAATTTCCTTAAATTATACTAGAGACAAAAAGTTGAGAAGGCAAAGTAGAAATCCATGATCAAAAATGAAGTTCTAGAAACCATCAGAATTGTATATATTATTTTAATATGAACTGAGTATCGATTTCAATTGATTTCCAGAACAAATCAAAACTCTTGGTCAACACTGTAAGAGTTGATTGGTACCTGGGATCCAGGCCAAGAGTTTCCTGTATTATGTGCCATTACCAATTTTCAAAACTCCAGGATTGGAATCCAGGTGTCCATTATTTCAGGAATATCTGGAATTCAAACTTTATAATATCTTCTGAATAAAGGAAAAATATCTACAGAGCTTCTGGTTCTAGTAGCCGTCGAACTGTTCCAGGCCCTGCTCAAAATATGCATGTTTCAGTGAGCTAAGCAGCTAGAAACTAGGAATGAAAATGTACAAAAGCGCCCCAAACAACGGACTACGGTTGCAGAGCGCATTAGAAAAAATGTCAATATTTGGTCTGAATGATTAGTAAAGGTCCCAGGCTCCTCATACTCTGATGGATGCCTCTGCCCGCCAGGCAGTGTGGGCTCTGGCTGCTGTCCGGGACTGCAGTTTAAACAAAATTTCCTTCAAAATTCAGTTTGGTTGGGACTTACCACAGGCTCGGGCTTGGAACTTTCCAGTAATGCCCAACATAACTCGACCTGAGACACACTGGCCGACCACTACCACCACTAACTCTGGGGAGAACTGCCTGGAAGCAGGCAGAGGACTCCTGGCCTGACCACCCAGAAGAGTGTGTGGAGAAGAGCAGAATGAATGAATGCATGAGGAGGCAGGCAGAGGAATGGAGCAGTCAGGGTGTGCCGTGCCCAGGAAAGCTGGTGTTGGCAAGCAGCCACGCATGTCTTCTTGATGGCAGACTACACCACCACCCATGCAACACTCTTGCCCAAGAATTAAATGAGCAGTGGACCAAGCTCTAGACTTAGCTACACTTCACAAGAAATTCAGGAGACAAGAGAACAAAAAGAACATGTTCAGTGGCACCACGGGGATGCAGTTCCTGAAGTGTAGGATAGAGAAAACTCTCGAGGGCAACCCTGTCAACAAGTAAGCTGCATTAATTTAAAAAAAAAAAAAAAATTGAGGGGAAATCTACAGATTAAAGCACATATATTGTGTTTGAACAAGCAACTGATTTAAACAAACTGAAAGAGAGCATGGAAGTGTTTCTTGTTTTTAATGGTGTTAAGCTGCTAGACTGTGGAGCAACTACCTACACAGGTCCATCCCAGTCCAGGAACCCACGCTGAAACGTGGAACCAAAGTGTGAGATGTAGCAGGAAGAGGGCGTATGGATTCAGATTGGATTGTTCTGGATTCAGACACACTTGGGTTCAAACTGGGGATGACCACTGGCTAAAGTTGGAAAACCAATTTAGCCTCTCTGTGAAAGACTGGAGCCTTTCAATTTGTAAACTAGAGAGAAAAATGACTAATGCCTAGGATGGCTGTAAGAAATTAAAAGAGAGAATTCACTTATAAGTGCTGAGCACCCTGCCTTTCACAGAATAAAAAGCAAGCTGGCTAGCAGCTTTTATTTTGTTTAATCATTATTAGCGGCACTCATTCTAAAATAGCCTCCCGTCCACCACCTCCTCTCCTGCGTGGAAAAAAGAAGGTATCCCAGAGTAGGCTGAATGTACATCTCCTCCTGCTAGAAGGCAGATGGAGAGTAGCTCTACAGCAGGCTGCCCCTTCCAGCAGGGTTTGCATCTAGCATCTGTTTCTACCTTTCTCTGTGTCGGGATACACGACACATTGCCTCTCCCAGTGCAGGGAGGCACACATGAGCCAGAGCACAAACCGGGCGGAAATACACACAGGAGCGAGGAGGCTGACAATACTTCTGGTGTGCTCACAGGCTTTAAAACGGAACAGCAAATGGGGGTGTCCACATGGAATTTCAATGTGAGGGTTTTTCCTCTCCTTGGTCCAACAGCACAAAAGGAGATTGGTTCTGAACTGGCAGGCTTTCTTTCATTTGTCATTATGTTTTACACACAAAGAAATTTTCATGTCTGAAGATGGGAGGTGATGAGAAGCAGGAGGATACACGTGGTTTTTGGCAGCCCAGCCACCTGCACTTAAATTCACTTCTGACAGTGCTCAGAATCTAAAGACCGGTAAGTACTAAACTGTCATCTGCCTATCCAGGAGAGATTTCACTTTGGCAGTATTTCAAAAGTAAAATCACTCACTTTTTTATGCATGTTTTCGCCACCACAATATTTCTCTAAGCCGTGTAAAAGACTAGATCTCGAGAGACATATAAAAAGAGGTTTGTGGTACAGGGTTTTGCTAAAAGGAAAATCGCCTTCGTTTCTGAACATAGAAGTACAAAAATTCAGTCATTTGCTAAAATCTAGGATTAGGGCAAAATGGGTGATAGCTTTCCCCAAGAGTTTGAGGTTGGGGATTACAAAAGGCAGTTGAATTTGGTAATTTCTGAACTACTTGAACTAACGGTCCTGCTATGACTTGGAAGATGGTCCTGTTATGTAACATTTGGCACACCTCAGCCATACTGCTGCTCCCAGCACAGGCTGACCCAGGGACCGGAGGAAGCACAGAGAGGACGCACCGTGTCAGGGAGAGCCTGACAGTCAGAACCGGAGGGAAGTTCCAAGGCTGCTCCCAGTCTGCCAAGTGACCCTGCCAGAGTCACTCACTGTCTCTGATCTCAGTTTCCACTGCGTTTCTAGTGAGAGACAGAGCCACGTGGTGGGTGAGCAGAAGGCCTGCAGGGACTACCGCGGAGGCTCTCAGGCCCCCCACCCCCCTGCTTCCCACCTGTGGGCCCTCAGATAACCCACCTTCCCCTTCTAGTCTTGCTCCTCCTCATCTGTATAACAGAATAAGAAATAGCAGCAAATCAGAAAATGCACAAAAAGGGTTCTCAGTGCATGGCCCATAACAAGCACTGGATAAATGAACTGCTACCGCTCACTGCTGCTATTATTATTATTACTATCCTTCCAAACAACCCCAAAGACAGTAGGTCAAAGAGTCAGCCCTGAGCAATAAAAGTGCTTGCTGGCCCCTGAGATTATAGCTTCTAGTCTGAGGGGAAGTGGGTTTCCAGGGGCCCCTGAGATTATAGCTTCTAGTCTGAGGGGAAGTGGGTTTCCAGGGGCCACCACTCTCTTCCCAGAGCCCAGAAGAGGGGTTCACCGTCACCGAATGTGTGTGAAGTGAATGAGCAAGTGGATAAATGAGCAATGCAGTTATACACAAGCAAGTGTCTTCAAAGCTATTGCTGTACCCTGAACTGACCTTCTCTGGGAGCTCCGGAAGGGGCTGGCAGCCACCAACTGGCAGATGCCGTGGAGAGCACACACAGCGGGCTCGCCCAGGTCTGCTGGCTCACTGTGGAAATGACCCGACTGTTTGGTCAGTGCACAGCTTGAGTTTACAGGGACAATGCAACTCCACTCAAGACTCTGACTTTGTATTTCAACCTCAAGGACTCAGGCCACTTGCTAAAAGGCTTTAGAGAACAGACTTCCTTGCAGCGTAAAAGAGCAGAGTGAGACACTGAGGCAGACTCAAGAGGCACTGGCCACTGGCCAGCACTGCAGACTCAGATCTACATAGTACCTTCTGAATATCTGGTTTAAATGCCTCCCCATACATCCGTCATCTGCTGCAGAACTATAACACCAACACTCCCAGCATAGCCTAACCCCGAGACAACCTGTCATTTATCAGCATTCTCCCAAATTCCGTCATTCTGGTGCCACTTCTGAAACGATCTTATCCTTGGCACCACCTGTACTGTTATTAACTTAATCCTCGTGTTTAAATCAATTCACTAAAAAAAAAAAAAATTAAATGCAGTTATTTTTTTAAATGAAATTTAAACCGCTATGTTAAATGAGAAACCAGTATTGCTTGCCCTCAATATGAGGGAACCATAAAAATAAACATATGGAAACAAAATATTGTAATTAAAATGGAGCTAGCCACCATTGTTTTTCCCCAGCTCCGGGTCTGAGGTCTGCTCTCTCTGTTAGAAAGGGAGGTGGCATGTGATGGCATAAACACCTGCCAGCCCCTAGCGAATGCTTCCTCCTTCGGGCATTTTGAAAGACCAAAAGAGAAGGAAAGAAGAATAACTGTCTCACAACGTGGGTCCATGTTTTGGAGCCATGTTCACACATAGCATAAAACTATCGCAGACGTGGAAATGGTAGAACCTTCTCATGCTCTGATTCTCAGTCCCCTTGGAGGACTGGATAAGTAAGGCTACTCATTCCTAGATGCAATTAAAATATGCTTTTCCTTGATTCCGAGACGCACTGCAAAAATGTCAGTAATCAGGATGCATCCCACAGATGCATCCTACAATCAGCTGGCTTTTATTAGCCACTCTTACTAGTGCTTGAATGGTGTCTTTCCTTTTTTATTAGGGGAGCTGCTATTAGACTGATGACACATCTCATAATGAGGGTGACTCAAGAAGTCAAGAAAATATGGTATACCTTAACGGGGCCAACATGAACGAGCCTGCTGTTGGACACCAGGACAACACAACAGTCTCCCATTTGTGTTCTCCCAATTGTGTTCATCTGATAAAGACATTACAATAGCAAGATACTATGATCTATAACCCTCCACTGGAACACTCACAGATTCTTGGCCTTGAATGCTTGAGCAAAATGTTGCACGCTACGGAGCAGAGCGAGGTCCAGGGTCATTGCTTCTACCTTGGCTTTGTGCTGGAATGAGAGAAAATAAAAAGAAATGATAAATAACAGCAAGTTTAGTTCATGGTATCAAGTTACAGTAAATGTGTTATGGAACATGTCGGAATTCCCCTGTTTAATATTAGACGCCCAGAGAGAATATAAATCATCGGAATGAATGGAAGAACAGGGCTTTTACTGCCAAGTTTGGGAGGATGTGAGACTGGGAATCTACTAAAACCACAGGCTGGGGGTTGTGCTGTTTCACTCAGCGCATAGAGAAGGCTCCAAAGGGTCTTCAGGCTCACATATCTCCTCTCAATCTGCGTCCTAAAAAAGAAAAAAAAAACGTAAAAATAGGGGAATGCCAGGACAAAGCCTGGCTCTTGCAAGAATTCAGTAGATGATATTTTCATCTCAAAAGCTGCCATCCAGGTTCTGAAATGATTCCATTGAGCCTGTGTCAAAAATTAATGATTCACTTAGAGAAAGTACAAAAGCAGGCAAAATTCATTTATTCCAATGGACCCTGAGTGACCTAGATCCCAGAGAGACCTCTGGTTTCACAACCCAGAAAACCCTACAGATAGGTGGGGCACACGTGGATAATAAAAATGACTACTGTATGTTCAGGGCTGACCGTGGGCTGGGCGCTTACATGCACCATCTTGTTACATCCCCACAACAACTGAATGGGTTCTACTTTCCCTATTTTACATGTGGTCTCTTGTAAGAGATCCCAGAGCTAAGAAGGGCTGCAGGAAAGGATTCACCACGTCATTCTGACACCAAAGCCCACGTTCCCTCCTTGACAGAAACTAGAAGGCCAGGAGCATCAGGATTTGAAGCAATCATATTCCATTGGACAGTGTCCTCGCACAATTCTGGAAAGATGAGGGTTGCCTTTCAGACCTGCCCCATGTTTATGGGGCACTCCCGATTTTTAAGTCTGGCTGGCCTGGAGGGTATGCAATTAAATACTATCACTTCTTAGACCTATCTCCTCCAAAGCATGTACAGCCAAGAATGCTGGGGCCACCTGCCTGTTCAGGTTAGGAAAGTTCCAGAAAACAAACGGCGAGCCTGGGAATTGCTACGGTGAGGCTGAGAGACAAATGGTATGAAGAGGGATGCAAACGGCACTGCCGAGCACATCCTCCACCTCAGTAGTCTTATTCAGGGAGAGGCACAAACTGTGCTGAGATGCTTAGGATATCTGTGGCAGTTTGAATTGGCCGCCTAAGTCCTGGGCTGGAACTCAGGTCCCAAGCCTTGAACAGTAAGTGTCAGGCAGCTGGGAGGCCAACTGACTTTGGGCCATTTAACATTTCTGAGCCTCAGTTCCCTCATTTGTAAAAGGAAAATATTAATTATCTTCTCACAGACTTGTGAGAATGAGTGTAAAGCACCTAACGTCCAGCCTGGAAGAGAGAAGGTATTTAATAAACTTGACTAGAAGTAGGTAAGATATCTAGTGTGCCAAACTCCTCCAGTCTGCAACAAATGGTGGTTTGGGTGAGCTACAGTGCAGCACGGTGGATGGAATGATATTAATGAAGACCGCATCAGACCAGCGCGCTGTTAGATCCCAGGGGATCCAGGGCATGTCTCCTAACAGAGCCCGGGTTTAGGGAAAGGGGTGTAAGGTGATTAAATGACTACCCCAAACCCCAAAAGGCATAAAGGTAGTGAAGGCAAGTTGACCAATGTAGACTGAATTTCCTTGGGTAACAGTGGCAGGGGCACAAATGTGCCAATTTTGGAAGAAGCAGCAGCATTTAACCTATGCCAGGAAGAGGGGTGAGTGCCAACACAAGGGTTTTGTTAGGAGTTTCCGAAGACCAGAGAATAGTAGAGCTGGAGGGTCCATGGTGACTTGAGGTCACACCCCTTGCCCTACAGAGAAAGATACCACCAATGGCAGAAATTAATGCACTTGAGTGAGGTTGTACCGTGTAGAGAGCTTGGGCCTCCAGACCAGGAGAAAAACCCCACTCACGTTCTGTCTGCATGGCTGATAACTGTCCGATGACTCAAATCTCTTTGGCGTACCAAGTCTGTCAATGGCTAACTTTTAGTCCCCATAGATTCTTACATTTCAGAAATGCTTGACTACTCCATTTGACATAAAGAGTTAGCAAATAAAGTGGCCTTTCACTCCCATTCTACCCCCTCTGGCCCCAGCCTTACTTCACTTAGAGCATGATCCTCAATGCCACACAGAGAATCTTACAGAACTTTGAATGTATCACAAGAGGAAAGCCAGATACTCATTCTGTTGGGGAGGCGGTGGTGAAGACATCGTTCCTCTCAGCCAAGCCCCTTAGGGAAACCCCATGGGATATGCAGGCCACATATCATAAAAATGCATATACATATTTCACTAATAAAACAGGAAGAACATTCCCAGATGGTGACCCCAAAGCAACTTCCAAAGAAAATGATGGCTCAGCCAAGTGGGCCAGTACATCCTTCTGTATGTGTAACTTACAACTGGTAAGTTGTCTTTTGGTCCTCCCCCTTCACTTTAAAATAAAGTACAGAGCTGCCACCAGCAATAAGAACAAAATCAGAACATACACATCCAGAGGGAACAAGGGGTCACAAGCCACTGACTAGTTCAACAGACTAATCCACAGGCTGTGCGTTCCTAGGCTCCTGGTGACAGTGATTCAAGTCCACACACTATTACTCAGGTAATTCTCCTGCCCCCGGCATCAGGTTTCCTGTTCCCGCTACTGATCCTGTGAAATGCAGAGAAACTGTGTGCAATCCGGTAAGTTCAGGGAAGAAAAAACACACAGCTTTTAGAATCAGGGTGTATGCGTGTGTGCATGTGCAAGCATGCTGGGCGGCGGGGGGGGGCTGCTCTTCTGACTATCTCACAAACCTAACAACATGATAGACATGTCTATCATGGGATGTGCTTGAAACGGGAACACAGCGGCCAAGGCACTCCCAACAGCACCCATTTCTGAGGGATAAACTGCTGCGTGCTAGGTGGAGGCAAGAGGCTCCGTCCGCCAGTGTGAGCTTTCCTGCCACGTCTGGACAGGAATCTGGGACTGACCACAATACACTTCCCTGGTTTAACTCATAAACTTTCTGTTGTTCTTAACTTCAATTTGGAACTAGTTACGGACTCATAAGAAGTGGCAAAAACAGCCCCAAGCATGCCCTGCCTCCCAGCACCAACAATGGAACACCTTACCCAAGTCTATAGCACATTATCAGAACCAGAAAATTGACGGTGCTGCAAACACAGTTCATTAGACCACAGACATTCCTTGGGCTTTACCAGTTTGGGGATGAACTCAATTTCTTTTATTTGGAATATCTTTTGTGTATAAATCTATGACAATTTATTCTATATATAGATTCACATAACAATCACCACATTCAAGATACAGACTGTTCCACCACCACTACAGAACCGGTGGGTTTTTTTTAATTAAGAGGTCTTAAATTAGCATTTGCCATCTAGAACATAAGAAGTTTAGGCTTTCTTTGGGCAGGGTTTACTCTTTGGATTGGCAAATCAAACACATATACAAAGTCCCAGCTTAAAACCCCTTTGTAGCTTAGAATGACCAATAAGATACGGTCCAACTTCCTTAGTATGGCTCACGTAACTGCCTCTGTACCAATCAGGAGGATATGCTTCAGTATCCTTACTGAACAGCTCCCAAACCTCAGTATCTTAAAACAATCAAGGATCAGTGCTCGCTCACACTTCGTGCCCATCCCAGGTCGACGCGACCATGTTCATCATGGTTAGCCGGGGACCCAGGCAGATGGGGCCTCCACCTTCTGTAACATCACTAGCCTCTACAGTGTGGGGAGGAGAATGTGACAAACTGCACATAGGATGGATCTCAAGGCCTTCACCCAGCAGTACAGATGTCACTTCTGCTCAGATTTTGTTGGCAGAGCAAGTCATGTGGTTATGCTTAGCTTCAGAAGGTGCAACCCTCCATGTGCTCAAAACTATATATGTATATGTATATGTATTTCTATATATATAGTGGAAGAAATGGAAATTTGTGTGTGTATTTACACACACACACACAAATTTCCATTTATATATGTATATATAATGAAGAACGGTAACGACTAACACACAGTCCATGACTTTGCCTTTTTCAGGGTTATTTCAGGCTACTTCCTACTTTACACTTTCATTAATTACGGAAAAATTTAGAAAAGACAGATGAATACGGACAAACAAAAAGCATCCACAATCCCAACTCCAAAATAAACTATTAACCTTGCTTATGTCCCTCGCTTCTTCTTTGCCATCTAGATAGACAGATCCATCCATCCACCCACTCAGCTTTCTTTAACAGGAAGAACTTCATACCAAGAGCTTTGAATCTAAAAATGCTATAAAATGCCTCTCTCAACCCTTCTCCAAATCCTCACTCTTCTCTCTAATCACACCAGTACACAATCTTTTCATCTCAGGCAAAATAAGAATGTAAATTGATTTTAAACTATGTATACAGATGCCGGTACCCATCATTTTAAAACAGAACTGCACAGGTGGCATCCCACACGTGAAGCATCAGGCAACTTCTAAGTAGCTGAGAAGCCCACCTGCTCCCGACACCCGGGGCTCAGCCAGAAAAGCAGAGTAATTAAGCAACCCACATACTCTTCCTCCATTTCCCTGGGATCTGAGGATACTAGCTGGTGGCACAGTTTACGGACACACTCAATAGACCAAGTCTTATTGGTTTATTCTTTATTAAGTTCCAAAATCTGCCTCAGTGATTCAAGAGTCTGTAAATGCCCAACCAAAGGGATTGCTTGCTGCCGCTATAGAAGAGTGATCTCTCATATCATTTTATGTCTATAAACCAGCCAAGTGTGACTCAGATGTGATACTGCCTGAAACCAAAAGAACCATATGGGAACCATGCGGTATTTAAACAGAGAAGTGGGGAGACACTGTGATCCACAGCAGAGCCAGCAGAGCCAGGCTGACCTGTGGCCACAGCCCAGCGTGACCACAGCAACGGCAGCATGACATC